AGAGAAAAAAGAAGAAAAGGAAAAGAAAAGAAAGGAAAAGGACCAAGGGGGACAATGAAGGCCAAGGTCCGGTTCCCGGAGCCCCTAGTGGGGTGTGGAGGGCGTCAGCAGGGGGGCATTGAAAACAGTGTCCTGGGTGAGGGAGAACATCAGGTGAGTGTGCCCCGCCTTCTCCTGGGTCACTGACCCCTCTGCTCCCCTGCCCTTCCTCCTAGACACAGGGTACCGAGAGCCCCCGCGGAGCCCCCAGAAGCTCCTGCTCTTTGGCTTCACCGGCCTCCTGAGTGTCCTGGGTGTTGTGGGCACAGCCCTGCTGCTCTGGAAGAAGGTATGGCATGAACACTCACAGCCACACAGCCCCTCCACCCCACACACCACGGGCTGGGGGTGCCTCCAGGGAGCAGAGAAGCTGCCGTGTCCTTGCCTGGTGAGGGCACATCCACATCTGTAACAGGTGGCCCTGGTCGCCCCTTGTACTGGGACTGAGGGCACCTCTCCTGTGCCACTCCCTGCGCTGCCGTGGGGCCCTGTTTTATCTTGTTGCAGGAAACCAGGACTTTGCAGGCTTTTCCGGGTCATGGGTCCCACTGAGAACCTGAGAGGGCCTGCAGGCCCTCCTGCCTACCATTCCAGCTCCGCAGATTAGGGAATCCCTGCCCGGGTTTTTTGATCCCAGGAGGCTGGAAGGGAAGAAGGGGCTACCAGCCACTGGCACAGGTGCCCTCCCACACACCTTTCCACACACCCTCCACCGAGAGGTTTCTTCCCATTTCACAGCTCTGAAAGGTGAGGCTCAGAGGTTGTGATTTGCCCAGGGTCAATAGTAAGTGTGCGGCAGAGTCAGGGCTGGAGTGCAGGGTGGGGTAGCTGGGTCCGGCTCTCACCTGGACAGCTCCTGCTCACACTGCAGGTGGCCCCTGCCTGGAGAGGGAGCCTCTCTGCTGGCCCCCCATGCTCATTGCCACCCAGCCCTGTGGATTCCCGTTCAACGCAGGCCTGCCCTTCCTACCTGGCAGCAAGTGTCAGGAGGCCAGAGGCCGGGGCAGTCTTGTCTGGGGGCTCTGTGCCCAGCACATGAGGGTGCTCAGGCAGCGTGCTGAGGGAAAGGATGCAGTACCCGCTGGGTTTTCCCAGGCTCAGGGGTGCAAAGATGACAGGTCAGGGCTCCTCAGAAGCTGCTGTTACCAGCTCAGGCTACTGCTCCGCCCTCCGGGGACCTTCGGGGCCAAGCCTGAGGGCAGCTGAGTCAGTGACAGCCCTGGGTGTGAGGGGAGGGCAGTGGCACCATCACCAGAGTCTCCCTGGGTCAAAGAAGGCTCAGCCCCTGCATCCAAAGGCCGAGACCCTACCTACACCCAGAGAAGAGCTCTCTTCCATGGGAATTCATGTGCTCATTCATTCAGCAAACACGCAACACCTCCAAAATTCCAGGCCCTGTTCTAGGCACTTGGGACGTAGCAATGACCAAACTGGAATCCTGAAATCTCTGTTTCTGAGGCCGGGCACGGTGGCTCAAGCTTGTAATCCCAGCACTTTGGGAGGCTGAGGTGGGCGGATCACTTGAGGTCAAGAGTTCGAGACCAGCCTGGCCAACATAGCAAAACCCCATCTCTACTAAAAATACAAAAAGTAGCTGAGCACGTCAGCAGGTGCCTGTAGTCCTAGCTACTCAGGAGGCTGAGGTGGGAGAATCGTTTGAACCCGGGAGGCGGAAGTTGCAGTGAGCCAGAATCACGCTACTGCACTCCAGCCTGGGCGATAGAGCAAGACTCCATCTCAAAAAAATAAAAAGAGGCTGGGTTCGATGGCTCACGCCTGTAATCCCAGTACTTTGGGAGGTTGAGGTGGGCAGATCGCTTGAGGCCAGGAGTTCAAGACTAGCCTGACCAACATAGCAAAACCCCGTCTCTACTAAAAATACAAAAGTTAGCTGGGCATGGTGATGTGCACCTGTCCTCCCAGCTACTCGGGAGGCTGGGGCAGGAGAATTGCTTGAACCCAGGAGGCAGAGGTTGCAGTGAGCTGAGATCGCACCCCTGCACTCCAGCCCCTGGGGGACAAAGTGAGACTGCATCTAAAAAAAAAAAAAAAAAAGAAAGTTTCTTCTGATTGTGGTTTTGAATTAAGGAAAAAGAAAGAAAAAGAAAGTAAGAAAAGAAAATCTGTTTTTATTAAATTGATATTCCCGCTGAGGCAAGACAGACGATGAACCACCCAGTGAATAGGTCATTTAACTCAGATGGGATAAGTGTTGGGGGAAACTCAGCCTGGGAACGAAGAAGCGCCTAGAATGAAGCGAGGCAGGTGCACACCGGACCGGGCGTGTTCGGCGGGAGAACAGTGGGAGCAGGTGCTCTGAGGCAGGAGCTGCGGCGGGGCTGAGGTGGCTGGTGTAGCCTGAGCGCAGAGTAGAGGGATGGGAAGTGGAAGGAGGTGCGGCCAGGTAGGGGCATTGAAGGGACTTCAGCCCTTACTCTGTGTGAGACCAGGGAGGGGTGGGATTAGACCCATATTCTAATGGAGCCGCTGGCTGGGTGAGCGACACCCAGTGAGGAGCTACGGCAAAGTCCAGGCAGAGGAGACAGGAGCCGGGACCAGGGTGGCCTCAGGGGAGCAGTGATTGAAGTGGGTGAAAGGCTGAGTGGACCCAAAGGGACTCGGCAAGGAGGTTTGCTCTGCTCCCTCCGGGGTGGGCCCGAGCCTGGGGGCATCTGGATCTGGGTCTGGCGGGCTGGTGTCAGGTGAGCTGTGGACTGGAAGAGCGTGCGAGGAAGCTGAAGGTCACAGCTTGCCTGAGCCACTGCAAGTGGCAGGCCTGGGACTGGAGTCCACACTTTAGTTTCCCATCCTTGTCTTTAGGCTGAAGATGTCATTGCTTTTCCCAAGAAGGCTCTGAGGTGCTAAAAGAGCATGAACTTGGTCCCTGTTCACCCCCAGGAGCATCAGGGGCTGCATGTCCTGCCTTCTATGAGCTGGTGTCTAGGTCAGGGCCTCAGCTGCGATGCTGGCTCCCCTCCTTCCTGTGGGGCTGACCCTGGCATGACTCGTCTTACTTTGACCTTGCCCTGTTGATGAGCTTCAGGGTGAAGTGAGCCACAGGCCCGGGTGCCACTGTAAGTCCAGGAGGGCTCTGGGCTCGGCCTTGACTCCAGCCCAGCCAGAGGGACCAGCTGAGCCAGGAAGACCCAAGATGGGTGGGAACGCTTTCTCCAGCTTCCCTGAACCCAGGGTTAGGATGGAGACCCACTGACTTCAGGCTGCCCCCCTCTCCAAGCCAGCACGGGGGTACACCTGCCACCTGCCCAGCCTGGGCCTTTCCTGCACACCCCCGACTCCCGCCCTCAATATATTCCCTCCCTCCCTCCTTCTGCTTTTCCCATGATGATAGCAAGTAGGATATCTCTCGATTTCTTCACTACTGAGCAAACCCCAGGTGCTCAAAACGAGGCCAGGGGAGGAGCTGGGCTGTGGACACAGAAACTGGGCTTCAGGCACAGGTGACAAGGGACTCTCCCTGCCTGTGGACCCCCACCCAGGGTTACAGGAGTGACCCACACAAGTGCCCTCTGTGTACACGAAGCACAGCGGGCAAGCAGCAGAACAGGGCCAGGCAAGATCTTAACCCTGAGCCCCCCTCTTGCTGAGCAACCCCAGCTCCTGCCCTACAAAGATGGGACCGGACCGTAGGGACGGGGTCACGGTATCAGTAAAGAAAGGGGCAAAGCTCAGAGCCATGGGCTTGACTTCTGGTCCCAGCTTCCTCCCTGCTTCAGTGACTCCTGCCTTCCTCCTCCTCCTCCCCCTCCTCCCCCTCCTCCTCCCCCTCCTCCCCCTCCTCCTCCCCCTCCTCCCCCTCCTCCTCCCCCTCCTCCCCCTCCTCCTCCCCCTCCTCCCCCTCCTCCTCCCCCTCCTCCCCCTCCTCCTCCCCCTCCTCCCCTTCCTCCTCTCATCTCCCTGCCTGTGTTTCCAGGAATGTCTGCAAAGTGTCTCGTGTGTGCCATCACTAGGCTAAGTGCCAACAGGGTGAGAGCAAGCCCTCTCATTAAGTTTGGGCCCTCTCTGAGCCTCGGTTTTCTCCTCTGGAAATGGGGGTACAGATAGACCCTGCCCACCAAGTGAATGTGGAAAGAGAGCACTTTTTTTTTTTTTTTTTTTTTTGAGATGGAGTTTCACTCTTTTTGCCCAGGCTGGAGTGCAATGGTGTGATCTCGACTCACTACAACCTCCACCTCTCAGGTTCAAGTGATCCTTCTGCTTCAGCCTCCCAAGTAGCTGGGATTACAGGTGCGCACCACCATGCCTGGCTAATTTTGTATTTTTAGTAGAGGTTGGGTTTCACCATGTTGGCCAGGCTGATCTCAAACTCCTGACCTTGGGTGATCTGCAGGAGAGCACTTTTGAGGCACCAGTTGGGTGCTTGACGCACAGTAGGAGCTTCCTGCTGCCTCCACATCCCCTGCACCTGGGAAGGACAGTTGAGTTGAGAGTCTGGGCCTGGAGGGAAAGAGAACCCGGAGCCCAGAGCTGCTGCTGCGTTTGCATTGCTGAAGCAGCCCTGAGCCCCCAGGTTTGCTGTGGATGCCCCTGAGGGCTGCAGCAGGATGGGGAAAGGAGAGAGTCCAGGAAAAAGACGTTCCCTCCAGGCACGGAGGACCCAGGAGCACCTGTGGTGGTAGATAAATGAATCGAGGCTGGAAACTACCAACTAGAAGCGGCAGAGGGTGGACCGGAACCACAGTTGGCAGCTTTGGGACAGTGAGGACTAAGACAGAGCAGAGCGTGCGGCCCCACTGGGCCGAGTCTGGAAAAATGGCTTTGCCTCCTCAGGGGCAGTGCCTGCAAAGGCCAGGCAGGGAAGGCACGGAGCTCACACCCCCGGGAAGATGGGAGCTGGAGGTAGCAAGAACTGAAGACCCACGGAGGCTGCCGGGAGGGGCTGGGGCAGCAGGGATGGGGGTGGAGCCCAGTAATGGATGACCCACAGGTGGCACCGTCAGCCCTGCCCGCAGGCCCTTCAACAGCAGAGGCCTCCTGGGCCCTCCTTGTTCTCTGTGTTCCAGCACCTGCAATGCCTCCTGGAGATCTCCTTCTTGCCTTTCTGGACCCAGCTTCCGTGTCCCCAGTTCAGAGAGGCCCTCCCGGACCCCATGGCTACTTCTCTGCCACCCCCTTGCCTCTGCCCTCGTCATCTGTAGGTCCCCTGATCTCTTACTCCATTTCTTCCCCAAGGCCAGCTCTGTGAGGCTGGGTGCCTCTCAGCCTGTTCCCTGCCACACAGAGCCCCAGCCTCTAGTACAGGCCCTCCACATAGTAGGCCCTCAAGTAACA